CTCATATCTGATTCCTGACCCGTGCCAGACGAGGACACGCCGCGCGACGCACATACAAGGCTGGCGCCGCACTGCGGGCCCCCCAGAGATTCGCACAAGACCCCGCCGCCTGGCCAGGCACCCAGCACGAGTCCGACCCACCACCAAGATTCCCATGCAACCCGGCACTTGCCTGTCATTCCTCTGACTGCCGGGGGTTAGCTGGTTGCGCCGCTAACGAGTGCCCTGCGTGATGGTCTGCAGCTGTATATCCCAAGATGGGGAAGGTGTCCTCGTCGCCGACTGCCTGCCCCAACTTCTCATGGGCTTTCACCCTGCTGAAACTGAGGCCAGTCAAGAGGAGGGGGCAAATTGTCCACCGCCCCCCAAATTGCATTAAAGTTTGATGCCCGGCGGAGTGCCCAGGCAGGATTTAAGCGCCCCACGGGGCCAGAGCAATCCTGGATGAGCGGAGCTGCGCGAGGATGCTCCGACCACTGAATCGCCATCGCCAGACTTCCACGTTCGGCATTGCTGGATTTCTGGATTAACAATCCTGGGAGCGGGGTCCGAACTGCGTTTAACAACTGACCTGGGGGGGGTGATTTGGGCTACCCCGCAGCCTGCTCTGGTCAGTTCTTTCAATGTTGGGCCCATCACATTTCCACAAAAAATGGGTACATCTGCAGCAAATAGACCTGGCTCACAGGGGCCGCGAATATCGAAATGCTCGAACGCCCTGTCTCTGCCACTGCAGGACGGAGAGCACAGAGGCGACGGAACAGACGATGTCCCCGTCCTGCTGCCACCGTTTCTGTTACATAGTCCCCAAAAAACTCCTTCCTGAGCTCCTGGGGAGACGAAAAAAGATAGGGGGAACGCACTCCCAGGTCATGGAAAACCGTGACGTCGCTACTGCCATATGGACATATACGTGTGCAAGTGGAAGTGGAAGTGCAAACCCACTGCTGCAAGTGCTGCCCCACTGCATATGAACCAAAGAAAACTGTTCGACAGCGCCTCTTCTGATTTGAAGTCAGACGTGTGATTCTGGCAACTGTTCTCTGAAAGCGCTCTCACCGCGGGCCCCGCGCAACTAAATTCTGCGATTCTGGAACCTTATCCCGAGAATGCACTTGCACTCTCTGGTAAATTACATCCACTACAAAAGTTTGCGCGATCAACCTTGGCGGCACGTCAAATAAGCCGCGCGGGTTGCATTGCGCATCCTCGAACAAGGTGGGCGCGCACACCGACCAATTCGCCACGCGAAGCCATGTCAAACTCACGCTTATTGGACCCGTTGTTTGGCCCAGTCATGTTTTCGCCGTGGAGGTACCGAGATGCGCACGCGCTGCTTGACACGCTGCATTCAACTCTTTCGGGGTCAGCGCGTCCCCGTGGAGGGCCAAATTCTTCCGACACGATGCAGGATCCTACCATTCCATCGCATACCGTTTACCCCTGCTGCTGCAAGGCGCAGTGGATCCGCCTCCGCTGCTGAGACCGAAGCCCCCAGAGATCTGACTGAGCTCGTCGTTGGTTCCACGGCGATTCCTTGGCCTGAAGATATCTCAGCATGCGGATCTCGCCCGGGGTGAACCCCGTCGACGCTGCTCTGTAGTGGATTGTAGATCGCACTCCTGTCAAGAAGAATATACCTTTCATCTGCTTGGTCTTGGTCTGTGTACTCGTTTTGCTATTGCCCTCAGCGTGGTAAGCCTGCGTTTGCAGGCCATGCGGGGGAAGACGGCGGGTCAGCGCGCGAAACGGCTGGGCCCGCACCGTCTCTGGTGCAAACCCAGGCCTGCGCCGGAGCCGCGCCCAGAGCCTGCGCCGCCGAGATCCTCCACGCACCGCTCGAGCACGGCGACCTGTGCGAACATCTCATCGCGGCTGCGGCCCTGCAACGGCCCCGCGCTGGGCAGCTCCAGGCACTTGTGCAGACTCGCGGCACGCGCCGGCAGCTGATCGACGTCTGAAGCCGCAGACAAGCCGCGGCAGCTGCCGCGCCGCCGCACCAGCGGTAGCTCGTCGGCCCAGACGTCGTCGTCCAGCATCGGCGCGGGCGATGCATCGGCCCCCGCAGCCGCATCCCCAGCCACCCCAGTCACCATGTCCATGACGTCGGCGGCGCCGCCATGCTTGCGGCCTCGGCCTCGGCGTCGCCCGTCTGGCCGCAGCGGCCACGAGGCCGACGCCACCCCAGATGGGCAGCAGCGAGCTCCGCAAGGGGCGCCACGGCTGGCGCTGAAGAGGAGGGCTTGGCCAGCATGGCTACCGCCCTCCGCAGCATGCCCTCGGCCGCGCGGGGCATGCGTGAAGGCTCACGCAGCTCCGAGCAGCCCACGAGGAGCTCAGCCGCCGCGTGCACCGCCGCGCGCGCGCCACGAGGAGCGCGCCGCGCGCCAACACGAGCGCCGCAGGGCGGGCGCCCTTCGCCGCTGACATCGGACCCGATGCGGCTGCTCCGAGGAGCGGCAGCGAAACGGACTTGAGCCCGTGCGGTTGTCCTCCTCCT